GAGGGTCTGAGGACTAGTTGCAGAAGGTCTGAGGACTAGTTACAGAGGTCTGAGAAATAACTGCAGAGGTCTGGAGACTAGTTACAGAGGTCTGGGAACTGGTTGATGTCTGGGGACTAGTTGCAGAAGTAGAAGGACTGGTTCTCCATAGGAATGGCAGCTGAGGATTGTGGGTATTGTAGTATTTAGAGCCATCCACCAAACCAAGACAGAAACATCCTGTCGTCCGCTTTGTCTGCAGGCTGCTGCAGTAAACTTTGACCCCTCCTGGTTTTATGACACTACTGTGTGTCACCATAATGAGAGTAATGGCAGTGAGTCATGAAGGTAAACATAGAAGCTGATCCTCAGAGGCAATCAGAGTGACTCAGCTGTCCTTCTGTTGGACGTCTGATTTCTGCTTCATAGCTCAGGGTTTATCTCAGACATTCAACATGTCCTCTCTGCTCCTGTTGTCATGGCAACATGCACATATGCTACTACTGTTGGTCTTGAGTTTTATGACTATATGTTCTTTCCACACATGAGGCAGCTTTCCTTTCTATGATGTTTGCAGATAATTCAGACACTGTAGTCTTTACAGATCATATTTAAGTATAAACTCTGCTCTTCTTTCACAACATTTTGTGGCTCCTGTCCCTCTTTCATGACAACTCTAAATTAAAGCACATATTCAAATGAAGGCCCACATAATAGCTGTAAACAGGTGGTAGCTGGTCCCATTTTTAAAAACAATAAGTGTTGGTGTACAGCATGTCTCTCATGATAAATTGTGGAAGTGTAGTAGAAGTCCACCACCCTCCAACAAGAAACTTTTAGACATTTGCCAAAAATTAAACTTGCAGGATTTAAGCAGCACAATGTTTTAAAGACCGCAGGGGCCATATAGGTTGTGTCTCACCTGAGGTTGTGACCATCACAATGGAGCTCCTCAGGTAATTGTTAGCAGGAACGTAGTAGCAGTGCAGCTCGTTGCACATGAACGTCCCCCTCCTGGCCTGTTTCCTGGCCACGTAGACGATGTATCCGTACAGAGAGCACATGGTGAGGATCGGTGCCACGATGCCCACCAACATCCACAGCACTACAAAGTACTTGTTGTCAGGCGTGAAACTTGGACAGCAGAGAAACCGCGACTCACTGTAGACGTAGCTGCCGAAACCCAGAAGGGGCATTGAGGCATTCACCAGGCAGAACAACCAGACCAGGACCAGGACCAGCCGGCTCCGCCCGGCTGTCCAGATGCTGCTGTAGCTGAGGGCGAAGCAGATCTCTGTGAACTTGTTGACTGTGGCCCAGGTGAGTGAGTGGATGGAGGAGGTCTGCAGGAGGAGGAAGATGAAGCCGCTGCCCTGACAGAAGGCACCCTCGCTGGGGCAGCAGGAGGGCCACGCCAGGCTGTTGTAGGCTCCGAAGGGGATAGTGGAGAGTCCGAGGGCCAGGTCGCTGATGCTGAAGCTCAGGGTGAGGCCCAGCGTGTCGGTTCGGAGCTCCTTGTTGAGGAGGAGGTTACCAACAGGAGGAGGAGGTTACCAAAGATGGAAGCCACGCCTGACAGAACCATCAGAGCGGCGTACAGTGTCCTCAGAGTATCCGCCATCTTCAGATGGACTTGCAGGACAGGAAATACGTCAACAACTGCATCCCAGATCCGACGGGACAGAGCTGGGACATCTGAACATCCAAAATGCTCAAATCACATTTCCCAGAGCCTAAGTGGATGTCTGTTTTTTTTTTAGAATGGTCCTCAAGAACGAGACGAACAACTCTAAACGTCTTCCATGTAGTTCAGCCTGAGGTCCAAACCTGAGCAGAAGTCTCTCATATAAACAGACTGTAAATCCAGAAGCTTTTGGTCTGAGGAGCTGGTTGGACCTCAGTCACCACAGTGATTAACTGATGAGTCACAGCAGTGAGCTGACTGAACCTGAACACACTGAGGACGATTCAGTTTGTGTCACATTATATCATCGCTAGATATCCATTACAGTAAAAACAGCATCTTTACTGCCGCTTCTACTGTCTTTACTGCCCCTTCTACTGTCTTTACTGCAGCTTCTACTGTCTTTACTGC